TCATCTCACGCCTGGACTATTGCAATTCCCTTCTCACTGGCCTACACAAACTCAGCAGCTAGACTAATCCACCTCACCAACCGCTCCACATCTGCCTCCCCCCTCTGCCAATCCCTGCATTGGCTCCTGATTGCCCAACGCATCAAATTCAAACTGCTAACTCTGACCTACAAAGCCATTCACAACGCCGCCCCAAACTACATAACTGACCTGATATCCAAATACTACCCTACCCGTGCCCTCCGCTCCTCACAGGACCTCCTACTCTCTAGCTCCCTGGTCTCCTCCTCTCACGCACGATTGCAGGACTTTTCTAGGACTTCCCCCATCCTCTGGAACTCCCTACCCCAATCCATCAGACTGTCACCTACCCTCCTCACCTTCAGACGCACCCTGAAAACCCTCCTCTTCAGGGAAGCCTACCCCAACCTCACCTAACACCTGACCTCACCTAACAACTAACCTCCTCCACTCCTCCCACCACTCCATCCCCCACAGCCATTTCCTCCTGTACCACCTTCCCCTCCCTCCTAGATTGTAAGCGCAGGGCCCTCGAACCCCTCGTGTATTGTATTGTTGCTGTCTTGTCTCATGTTCTGTCCCCCTTGCTACTGTACAGCGCTGAGCATACCCTTTGGCGCTATATAAATACTGTATAATAATATAATAATAATAATTTTGTGCAGTTTCAAACTTTCAAAAAATATGCTATGATTATTTGACTTAAGGAAAGGACTGCTCTGCTCAGATATGGAAAATTAAAATTAATTAATAACTAACAGACTGATAAGTTACTATTGGTTAGCCTGTTTAAAAAGAAAACTTGTTCCCAGGCAGTGGCTCAGAGAATAACATGTGGCTCTCCATCCATTAGACGTTGCTCATTAGTCCTCATGCACACTGGACATTTTACAGCTGCTGTTTTTGGCTTTTGACATTTTTGTCTACAGCTAGTAAACCCCCCAAGCATGTTATCCTGTGTCCATGTAACAGACTGTAATCAGCGTTATTTTGGCAGGGGAGTTTTTTGGCTGGAAAACTTCCCAGAACTAGTGGATTTCTAGAGGAGTTTTTTAGCTGTAAAAATGCTGTAACGCTGAAAGACACGGCAAACTGGTGTTTTTGGACTTTTTTTTAACAGAAAAAAAAAATGGGGGGTGGGTCATAAAAAAAAACACTACAAAACGCAAAGGTGAAAAAAGGTGGAAAAATGCCGCTAAAAGCTAAAGCAAAAATGCTGAAAAACTCACGTTTTTAACGTGACTTTACACAACTAATGTTACCACCGTTATTAAAACGCCCAGTGTGCATGGAGCCTTATAGTTTAGCTGAACATTTGCAAAAAAAGAAAAGAAAAATGTGCTCTCTTTTTGTGGTAGCTTGGTAAAGCTGCCCATAGATGGATCAATTTTGATCAGTGTGTGGGGCTTACTGTTTGACAGAAGTCGATCATTAGATCGAAATTTGTCAAATGGGCAAGTTGTAAAACTTTTGTCAATCGGTGTCGCCGTGTCCCCTTGTCAGAATAGAGCTGTTGAGTGGGGGACTCCTCATTGGTGTGGCTGTGTCTTAACAAAAAAAAAACCCTAAAGCACAACAAATAATCTATGGTTTAACTTATCTCGACCTGCCATGTTTCTCAAGTGTAGTTTATTTTCATTAGCACAATTTTTCTTATTTCAGGGTTTACCTTTAAGAATTTGATCAGCAGCCTAAGTTGTAGCATACCTGCCCTTTCCTTTTTTTTGGTATTACAATAAATGAAGTAGCTGAGTACTCAAGGGGTACTTAGCTACTTCAATGATATTACTTTGCTTCCTGACTAAAGAAACCTGTAGTTAAAGAATTACAGGGATGTCATTGCTGAACCTCTTTAAAGAAATGTCATTGCCTAGATACCTATGGCTACAAAGCATTGTGTCACTGACCTTAAACAAGGATGCAGATTAGAAAGTGTGAGAAGAAGTGAAGTGCTGCATACTCAAAGCAATGAAACCATTTGAAAAGCACAACAGTCAGACAAATATAATGTTCAAAAGGAGAAATCTGCAATGGCAAACGCCATGTTCTGCTTTTTGTTTTGTATGGCTGAGATAAAATACATTATAAGGTCATTGCTATAAGGATACCCCTTATAGGGAGGATTTAAAAAAAATTGGGGCATTTATTTTTTATTAAACTATAATTTTAAAATATTTTTCTCTGTTGAAGTTGCCTGGCCATAGACTGTGCTCAGTCAGGTTCTACTCCTGTCAGAGAGGCTGGGGTTTGACAACTGAGACCATAAATGCTCCGAGCGGAGTGCTTCTGAGTTCATAGTACACAGGGAAGATCAGCACTCAGGAGGGACACATGGCACCTTCATTTAAATGTTGAAGTGATTCGGCAAGCTTTAGAGCCTGAATCACTTCTAACACATAGCTAGGAGCAAAAATGTAAACAGACTCCTGGCTAATATAGCAGCTGGGAGTTAGTTTACATGCAGGCACTGCTGCATCCACAGCAGCAAAAGGGTTAATGGCTATGGTGTTAGGGCTTGTTCACACTTGACTAAATTTATAACTCTTCAAAAACGCCTCTATAGCATTAGACAGGCGTTTATGAGCTTTAGTATGAGATGTTTTAAAAGCATTAAAACCGCTTCACAAACGCCTATAATAAACTCTAATGGTATTAACACCCCGCAAATGCCTGCCAGGGTATTTGAGGAGCCTCACCATAGACTTGAATGGGAGGCGTTGAAAGGCTTCAATTCCTCCTGACTCGACATGAGGCTTCAATTTTGAAGATGTTTTGATAATGTGAACAGCACTATGTGCTGCCCATAGTATCATTTTCATAGGCGTTTGAGAAGCGTTAAGAATGCCCCTCAAACGCCTGCTTTCAAAGCTAGTGTGAACTAGCCCTTAGAATGAGAAAGTACAACAAGGTGTGATGGTCAGGTGTCCACAAACTTTTGGCCATAGTGAGTGCATTGTTTTCATTGAGGCAGCTTATTCATCAACAGTATTATGAGAAGGAGCAGTAAAGCACAACCATTGTGTAGAACTGCAAAGCAAAATGCAGAATGTGTATTGATCAAATGAATGCCCCCATATTCATACATGCTTGCAAGCTATATATACAAACAAGGTTCTTAAAATACATTAACACAATATTTACATCAAGCTGATCTCTTTACATGTATATCTAATTGAAAAGATAAGGGGTATATTTATCAAACAGTGAACGTGACATTGCCTATTCACTGTGGGTAAATTTATTGCTAATATAAAACACATGCACCAGGAAGATTATTCAAGAGTGAATGTTCGGGGAATGTCAAATTCATTGTTCGATAACTATAACCCATGTGTTTTCTATAAATAACAAAAAGAAAAGAAATGGATTTCCTTCATTCTTTAGTTTGACAGATATCACTAAACTAAAAGCGGAGAGTGCTTTAGAAGGTTACAAATAACAAACCTTACTTTGAAGTTAAGAAATAAATGTAATTTAATCAGGTGTATCTTTCAAATGAAAATAAAAACCACACTTTTCTGAAGGTCTATTCATCCAAATGCTCAGAATGTGTTCATGTCCAAAACACAGACCAATTATACATATATTTGCAACAGAAAAAGGTTAAATTGCAAAATAAAAACAAAATGTTTTAATACAGATTTTCAATATCAATTCATTCTTACTATATATTTTTTTTACAAAAAACTCCATTGTAGCAGAGTACATTTAGACCTTTCAGAAAGTCCATATTTTCAATAAAATGTGAAATTTAAGTATAGCCCTATTGCCTTAGCCTTTTTAAGTGCTCATGGACTTAAAATTGTTAAAAGCAGTGGTGATTGCCAACCCAAGAATGCCACCCCCTTAATAAAAGAAAACGATTGGCGATAAAAATATGTACTGACTCATTATTTCAGCATTTTCAACTGTTTGTTTATTCTGTATCCGAAAGATAATTGCTAGAACTGTAAAATGTACAATAACTTGAAAAATATCGATTGTAGTCCAGTGTCTGTAAGCAAAAGCCTAACCAATTAAAGATATTAACATTAGATGCATTTTTATTATAAAAAAATCTTTTCTATTACAAAGATCAGTCTATTAAATGCATCCCTTGGAGATCCAATGTGCAGATTTTTACACCGGCGACAAGGAAGCAACCTTATAGTGGAGTTTTCCCTGTAACCCCCCCCCCCAAACTATTTCTCTGCTCCAAAATGTACTCTGAAAAAACTGTCAGCAAAATATTTTGACAGATATGACACAAAGGGAGGGAAAATAATCCAATGTGCAAACGAGTATTAAACATTTACAAGATTTGGTGCAGGCATCCACAGTACTGTATTATTCACTTTGACATTTACAGTGGAATGCCTTCAGCAGTTCATCACAGGCTCTTTTTTTTTTTTTTCCTTTTTAATCGTTATCAGCTTGTGCCAGGATTCCAAAAATTTTCAAATGTGTCCATATGATAATAGCAACAAAATCACATAAATAGTAATTGAGATTCACAAACCTTAAAATCAGTTTGGAAATAACTAGATCATTCTTGTTATTGCAGTATCTCTAGGTTTCAAATTAACAGTCTCAAAATAAATGACTCATAAAATCACTCTTTACAGAAAAAATATATATATTTATATTCCTCCCTTTTACACTTTTGTCACCCCACCCTCTTTAGTCCTTTGATTATGAATATATATATATTGGTTAAACTATAAGGTGCCTTATAGTAAAACACAAGGATCATTTTGTATTTAGCTCATTTTCCAGTTCCATTAGTTTGCGAGAAGCTTTAACTTTGTTGGACACATCCTGGCCTTGAGAGAAGAGGCGTTGGCGCTCCTTAAATGTCAAGCTCTCTGGGGCTCCACCAGTTGTAGAAAGATCTCCATCTTGGCTATATGAAACAAGCAACACATAAATCAAATTATACCTCAAATGCTGTAATATCATCACTACTTTTACACTGTTTATATTTACCTTTTTAATCTCTTGTCTCTTGGATCCCTATACACTTCATTGTTCCCAGCTATCGTACTTGATGATCCAGTGTAAGAATTTGATCCTAATAAGGAAATTTAGCATTTTATTTGTTTGTAGTAGTTATATTGTAATAATGTGCCTTCATTGAAAAAGACAACACTTGCATAGCTATAGAGAAATAATACATTGGTAAATGATTTTAGCTGCGATTCTGTTGAGAAAGCGTGAAAACATGCAAAGTTAGTTCCAGTAGAAGACAGAAAAGTTACCAAGCAGAGCAGAAGCCATATCCTAATGATGAATGCATTAATTAGCAATGAACTTAACTTTCAGTTCTACATTTTTTGCGGAATGTTCTTAACTGCAATCTGATTTTATTTTTAAATTTTATTTTAAAGATCAACACAGAGTATATAGAATTCACATTTCACCTTCCTTCATTTCTAAGATATATTTTTGTGTGTGTGTATATATGTACACACATACATACACACACACTTCCCAGGTTCTCCACACAGATGTGAAGCCAAAACAAATAAAATGACACAGTAAGAATACAAAGCCTTCTTTGGGAAACACGGGTTCTCTTGGCAGACCAGAACCCCCATTCCCACTCACTTATACTCAGCTTCATTATGTTCCCTGCAGCTTCCCCTGAAGTCTGAGCTTTGTGTCAGAGTTTACATAAGGTTAGTTACCTCCTCCCTTCTCCAGTGTGAAAGGGTTCAGTCCTAGCAATCGGCTGCTCAGCACTGCATTCTGAGAGTTAAGGGAGAGTGGGGAGAGGGTCAAATGCTCCCTTTAACTAGAAGTACCCAGCACTTCCAAAGGCTCTCAAAGGTGAGTGGAGCCTCACAAAATTATCAGTGGTTGTGGGGGCTTGTTATGGGAATGTGTCATTTTACTTTAAATAGGTAAAGTGACAGATTTATGGTAAAAATTATTCAGGTATATTTTAAGAAAAAGGTCTAAATTTTGTTAAACTCCAATTCAGCTAATAGCTACATAGGTCATTACACATAATTTTAAGTAGAACTTAAGCCAAAGAGAGTATTTTCTGCATACATAGTCAAAAATATTAGCACCCCTGCATTTCTGTCATATAATGCACCACTTTGACCTGAAAACTGTTGCAATTACAAGCATTCTCATGTCCATTTTTGGGGGTTTACATGGAATGTGTCCGATTTGGCTTTTTGTTTCTCCACTTTTTTGTGTCATACCAATACAAACAAAAGTAACCTGAGAATCCCTAAACATTTGTAATTGCAGGAATTTTTTGGGTGAAATGGTGTATTATCTGACAAAATTACAGGGGTGCCAACATTTTTGCTATGACTGTATATTCCCAGGGGAGAGATGTCCCCCTCATTTTTGGTAACAAACATCGCACTATACCTGTAACAGGAAGTGATGGAAATCCTCCCCAAAGATGACATATTACAAGAAAATCCAGGGATATGCAAAGTGCAATGTGATGCAAAGTGTGCACACTGGAAGTATGCATTGCTTACTCAGTGCTTCTCAAAGGCGGATATTTTATAAATGGTGTGTAATGTCCCAATCAGCTAAGATAGTGGGTAAAGGGGGGATAGGGCCTACTAAAACTCCTGCAGCTCCTTTGCCAGATCTGGGATGGATCTCCATATGCAAGAGAAAAAGAGAGCAAACACAGGGCGCTGGAGTTAGTAAAACCGCAAACAAGAACACTTAATTGAAACATAGAACACCTAAATACAAAGAAATTGACAGGTAATAGAAACAAAGGCAGACCGGTAGGCACACAATGATCTCTGAGCAGGACATGCAACAGTGTGTGTGACAAAAGCACCTAACCCAGCCACAGTTTGGCAGAGAAACCAGCACTGCTGATTTGCCCAACAACCTGTGGCTGGGTTAGGAGCTTCTGTTACACACACTGCGGCACATCTTGCTCAGCAATCCTTCTGTGTGTTTTTATCATCCTATGCCCACAGGTCTGCCTTGGCTCCTACTAGCTGTCAATCAAGTTTTTCAGATGCAAGTGGGCTATGTTTGAATAAAGTGTTATTGTTTGCGGTTTTACCAACTCCAGCACCCTGTGTACACTCCCATAGCAACTGATTAGACACTGGTTATAAGTAAAAGGTAGGAAATGTACTAAGGTATCATGAACGCAGTACATTTTCCCAACTCTCCTAGATGCCTTTCCTCCTGGCAGCTGCGTTTTGATGAAAAAACGGTTGACTCTTGTAAAATGTGTGTAACGTGTTTAGGCAGGTCAAGTTCCTGGGTGTTATTTCATTTCACTGGCCAGAATAAGAATTTACTCTGGCTATTGAAATGAATTAACACTCAAGCACTAACCTACTGCCTAAGCGCATTTAGAGGTGTCATACCTTTTTTCTGCCAAACCACTGCTGCTCCTGGGCACACAGGCTTTTAGAGTACTTTAGAGGCAGAAAAAAAATACTGCCAATATGTACATGGGCACATAGGCTAACATGCAGGGGTGTTTAGAGGCAGGAAAACAAATGCCAGATACCCCTAGAAGGCGCTGGAAAAAACATCCAGTGTGCATGAGGCCTTAAGAAACAGAGAGGAGACAGCAAACAACACCCATGTGCAAAATTCTTAATTTCTGTAAATTCTTAAATTATGTGAGCTGATGTTACATTGTTGGGAAGATATTGAGAGGTTGACTATCTCGTTTTGAACTCTGGTAGAAGAGACAGCAGTGCGGTAGGGTGAAGAGTGAGCAATTCAGCCCACTGGGATTCACCCAAAGTGGAAATATCAGTTCAGAGTAACATGACAACTTTCAAATAAAACTAACATTTTGTAACCATTACAGGAGAATAAATAATGAAAATGCAAGCATTCCAAAGCGCTTTTTATAGTGCTTTTTAGCTTCAGCCAGTAAAAAGAAAATGAATTAGCAGTTAGCCATAAATATTGAGCAAATGGTTATGGCGGTAGCAAGGCGAAAGCAGTTATGTGTAGTTCATCAATTACCTTTGTCATATCTGGTCTATATATATCTGAAGTATAAAATGTATACATTGTGAGTATTAACGACTACAACATACAAATGTAAAAATATGAATGTGTTTGGTAAATATCAATGTGTTTTTATAGGCTTCTAAAAGCTTGTAATTAATATCCCTTTATCATATTATTATGGATACTATAAGCTCTACAGATCTTTATCCTTTGTAGATTAACTGCCATGCGGAGACCAACATAGTCATTAAAATTTAATATGATACTTAACCAACTTTTCAAAACACAGAGTGCTTGTAGACAACCTAAAAATGTAATATTTTAAAGTGTTGAGATTTAGATGTGTTGGAAGAGTTCAAATAATTCACAGTGTGCATTAGAATGCACAATTTGTCTTTCCAGCTTGCATAAGGCCATATTTTTAAAATTATGTTGTGTGAACAAAAATGTGAACAACATTCCTGTATTGATCAAAATGCTAAGATTGCTAATCATCGGACTCCTGCACTAGGCTGCGAAGGTTCTAGCTCTATACGAGTACAATTCCCTGCTCCCAATGAATGGTATATGACTGTATTCCTATCACTCCGTATAATCATGTCATTTACTTACCAAATAACTATTAAAAATGCACAGGAAACGCAAAGGAACCGATTTCTAAAGTATACTGATGCAAAATCTAATACTATTTATTTTCGTTATTTTCCATGTGCTCTTGGGGACAGAAGAATAGGACTTGTTCTCACCTACCCTGTGAAAGGACTGCATGTGTTACAGATTTTCTTTTTAACAAAATTGAGACAGCCTGAATGCTTCTCTATAATTCAGAAGCTGTCCGTCTCCAAGGTGGAGAGACAAGTGAATGAAGTCACAATTTCCAACTCGGCCAATCAGAGGAAGCCTTGTATTCATTGCTAAAAATGCAGGGCTTCTCCTGAATGGCAGAAAAGCATTCAGGCCAACACAATTTTGTTTTGGCAACAGATAGGAAGATGGCCATACTGCTCTGGAAAATAGCAACGCATATTGCGTGTAGCTACAACAGTACAATACAGCACATACAGGGGCTGATTGTAATAAAATGGGAATAATTAGCTTGGGCTACCTTGGCCCAAGTGAACTATTTAAAGTCAAATGAAACATGGAATTCTACTTTAATGTAAGGTACAGCATGGCATGATTCTCTTGAACATTATGTGTACCACCTGCCATCCTGTAGAGGTCCAGTGCCCTGCCGGCTACCAGATACAGTCAGAATTATCACCTTATTCTTCACCAACTACCAGACCTATTCCTTACACAGTGCTACATGATAACAAGCTCCACTGGCAGGGAGACCCAGTCTTTACCACTCCATGGTATTGCATGGTAAGTTACACTATATACTGTACAATATAGGATTAGCTACGTTATATAAAAAAATTGGTGAATGCGGATTGGTACTATGAATACCATATGAATTATATGAAATCTATGGCATGAAATCTATATTTGGACATAAAGGGGTTTATTTACTAAAGCTGGAGAGTCCAAAATCAGACTCCCTTCTGCATAGAAACCAATCAGCTTATAACCTCAGCTTGTTCAATGAAGCTTTGGCAATGAAACCTGGAAGCTGATTGGTTTCTATGCAGAAGGGAGTCTGATTTTGGACTCTCCAGCTTTAGTAAATAAACCCCAAAGTGTCTAACTTGTGTGTTGTGTACGTTTAGTTTTATTTTCCTAAACAAATTCTGATTTATACTATGTGCTTTTTGTGATGTACAGTATAGTCTTTTTGAATGAACTTCTTGTTGGAACACTGACCAATCATAAAGAAGATATGGCTGAGGACACAGTTATGTAGACACATTTTCATAACAAACTGTATAATGAGTGAGCAAGTGTAATTAAACTTTAGTCAGATACTAACTGTGCATTTAAAGGTTATTTTCAAATTATGTGAAAGAACGATTTCAATTCATGTAACTTTTATATAGGACTGGGGAAATTATTTTTTATGTAATTGTATTTTATTTAACAGACAATTGTTGGTTAATGTAAATCAATATCGCTGTCATTATGTGAGGGCCCTACTCAGGTTCTGACATAGTTTTATGAGAAATAAACAATACTACTTTCTAGTTATCTTTTATGCAAAATGACAGTTATATGAAAATTAGGGGGCTGCCATTGTTGTCCCCCTAAAGAAAATGCTAAATGGTTGTAACTGAGTTAAAGAAAACTTTGCAGCAAAATGCAAAGTCCACTTAAACTGTACACACCACCTTCCTCTTTACTATTCACCTACTATTAGCAGTTGTAAAATGTACCTGTAAAGAAAAAAGTTGGGGGCTATACTTACCTCACCGCTGTATTCTGCTTATGGTGCCTAGGCACGGATGATGTCATGCTTCTTCAGGCTAGATCCTGGGAAATACATAGAAGCTGAATTCTCACAAGTAGACACTTTTGCAGTGTCTTGAGACGTTTTCAAGGAATCCATGGTTAGCAATGTGAAAGACGGGGAGGTAAGGTATGTATAAAAAAAAAAATTTCATACAGGTACACACACAGTAGGAACATCTTACACCTACTAAAAGAAAGTGATCTGTAAAGGGAAAGTGGGTCTAGGCAAATTGAGTGGAGCTTGCATTTTACTGCAAGGTCCTCCAAGTATTTAGAGTCACAGTCCTGGAATAACCATGCTGTGCATGAGTGTCAGAATTCCATGCCTCTATACTTGTTTCAGGTCAGCAAATCAGAAAGCTTTGAATCTAAAGCTTCAGCATGACAACCAGGAAATAAACATTCTAAATAGAAGAGTTCAGTGATGCCAGCCTTCATGATTCCCACAAGACAAAGTACCTTTAAATACATTGAAGGCTCCAGCTAGAACAAGTGTGGAGATCAGTTCTGACTTTATTTGCCATATATTTATTCTCGATCAATAAGTCAGAGTGCTAATGTCAATGTATCAGGGTGACATCCAGCAGCTAACATTTTTTTTTTTAATGAGGTCAATGATAGCAAAGTTATGTATCTCTCTCATGACATTTCCTTTAATTTCTTTAAAAAAATATTCTTTTAGGCTACAAGAAATTGTGTGGATTAGCACAAGGTGTGTTTTTGTATTGCTTGGTCTATGGATTGTCCTCATGTACCATGGTAAACCTATACCCTACAAAACTCATCTAAGTCAGAATACAACTGAATTGCACGTGGGACACACTTGGATATTGTCACAATGGATGGGGTGCTATGTTTGCCCTATCAAATATACTGTGTACAAAAAAAAAAAAAAAAGACAGTGAGTGAAATGATGTGTTACTGTCACTGGAAAAAAAGTGCCATGAAAAAAGGGATTAATGCTACTTTTAATAACTGAATAATTCAAAACAAAATAATGTGATAGCTTTTAGTGGTATCTCCCTAGTGTTTCCTACCCAAAACAAAAGGAGAGGTTTTGTCTTCAGATTTTATTACTGAGAGTTAAATATATTTTAATAAAAAATATTATATGTTGAATTCTTCATAATGGTCCATTTAGCAGTGGTTTGATGCTTTTTGTTTTTGGTCTATATAGCTTTGAGTCATCGGGAAAGGTGGTTTGTGGGCCCTTCTGGGTATTCTTTATTGTGTGTTGTTTCTTTAGCTGCCACTAACTGCTGCTCACCAGGTCTGTAATGTTACCAAATGTAACAGTAAATGTCATCCTGCTTAGAAAAACTTTCTCCCTCCATTTTTATTTACTGCTAAATGTTCTGAAGATGTGATCATGGAAATTTTTATGTCTGTCGTACATTTAAAACCTATATTTTATCAAGCTGTGTATATAGACACATATACACAAAACTTTCAGAATACATGCATTGCTAAAAACCTTAAAGCATGCATTATGTATACATGTATTTTTAAGCTGGGTATACACAGACTGAAATTCAGCTGGTACAGCAGAAACCGGCCGAATTTAGATCTTTTTGTAGCCCTCCCGTTTCAGCACTGCAGTCAACTGGCCGCAAGCCACTGATCCAAGAGTGTTTTCCAGCAGTCTCGTTTGACAGAATCCAATCTAATGATTGGCTTCTGTTGAACTGGGAGGGCCTACATACAGATCAGAATTCGGCTGGTCCCTGATGTATCGGATTCATTTTGATCTGTATACAGCCCTTCGTTAGACTGGCTTCTGTTGAACGGGCCTGCTGGAAAACTTCTTTAATCAGTGGCTTGCAGCCAATCAGTTGCAGTGCTGATCAATGTATTCTGAGAGTGTCATAATACAGTGTCCTGGCGGGGGGAGATTCCTGCATCCGCATTGCTTGTGTAGAAAAAAATATGTTTCACTTTTTGCTTGCAACAATGAATGGACTCTTAGCACAGCCCCCACCATGAGGCATTGTAACAGCTGGTGTGTGGGTGGACTTTATTTTGTATTTTTATTTTAATGATGTGATACTAAATCTCTCCAGACTTCAGACAGATGTGGCACAGAAGATAGAAAATGTGTGTTTTGATATGCAGCAATGTCAGAGTATCAGGAGCCCACTTTACACTTAAAGTAGAATGCTCATAGTTCATAGTGTGGTTCTCCAAGAGGGTTTGCCAGTGTAACTGATATGGATATAGGGATTGCAATTATTCACAGTCATTAGAATAGCATGATGCAAAGTTAAAGCACTCTCCCTAAACTAGTGCCTAAGATGTATGGAAGCTTATCATACTATATTGGAACCTAGAACATCCCTTCTGGGTGGATTGACCTACTGACTGGAAAAAAATAAAATGAGTAAGAAGTACATGCAGTACAAACATGTACAGCAAACCTAAATGAAATATATGGAGAAGCAAAGCAATGGTAGCCAAAACCAACAGTACTTCAATTTGATCAAGTTTTTTCTTGTTAAGACCCAAGAGGAAAAAATACAACATTTAAGTGGTATAAGGAGAGGAAAAAGTTGAAAAAACTGATTGGAAAGGGTATTTGAAGTGTAATCATTCACCAAATAGTGGTAGAGAGGGAAAAACCACAAATTAGAGGATAGACTTCAATCTAAAAATCACCAAGGTGTAAGAGTTAGGAGGTGTATTCCAACTAGTCACACATTTTTTAACAGTACCTTTAGAGATGCTTTGGTGAAGAAAACCTGGCTTATTTGCTATGGGAGGGGCCAGGCCTGTTTTGCTACCAGTACTGTTGGCATTGGCTGTAGGTGGCTGGAATGAGTTTGAAAGAAAGATGCCATCGGACACAGGACGAGGCTGGCGTGCAGCAGGCAGCTGTGGCTTATGTGAAGCTGGAGGAAGGTCACCATAAGACTTTCTTGTGCTGGAGTACTTATCCTGACCTGCTAGGTTTGTGTCTTCCTCATCATCAGTGTATGCAACAAACTTGGCAGTGTAAACGGTGTCAGGTGACAGAGCTTGTGTTTTGAGGTAAGAAGTGTTTCGCTGAGGTGGGGGAGGCGGAGCGTTAGACGGGAGGGGTGGGGATGGGAGCTCATATTCCCTTGGGAGTGGAGGTCTGTACAGACCAGGCTCTTCAGGCTCTAGTAATCTCCGCTCTGCCTCCTCATGTTGCCTGCGCCTCTCTGCTTCCAAACGGTTGTAGTACTCCTCTTCCTGCCTCCTCTGCTAGCCAAAAATAAATAATGTAATTAAGCTTGTGCAAAAAGATAAATAAAAAGAAACAAAAACAAAGCTTACATACAATAATGGTTATTAACAAAAAAAAAAAAAAAAAACAACAAAACCCCACACACACAATTTGTTGATATCATGCCACATGCACACAAACAGTATACATTAGTGCTTTAATAATGTGTAAAAAGTGCATTTCAATGATTTTTATAATGTTTTGACCAAAGATGACATGTACACTTGATGGGCTCTATTGCTTATATTGTGCTACATACCTGAGGGCAACACCTGAGTGACTTACTTAACAGCTTGAGCACAAAGAAAACTTGTCAATCAGCGAATGCAGCCGCTGATCAGTATTATTCTGACAGCGACCAGGTCCAAGTGGTGTTAAACGCAATGTACTGGCACGGAGGATTTTTTTCATCCACCTCGTTTGTGTGCATCAAGGAGTCTGCTAACTTTATATAGCCATCTTTATCTGCTCCCTTTTCGTCTTTTTGAAACATATCATTGATAAAGTGTCCATTGAAAGGAGTCCTTCCAGTTGTTATCTTAAACTAAAAGTACATTTAGGTAGGTCATAGGTGATTTGAATTTTTTTCCTGCAAGATGAATCCCCCGTCAACACAGACAGTGCTGACAGGGGAATTCCTCCTGCTGAGCAATTTTCTACTCCCGGCGGGGGGGGGGGGGGGGGGGGGGGGGGGGGTTTTTGGGGAAGCCTTCCCTGCCGGGAGAAGACAGTGATTAATGCTAGCGGCTATAGCAGCTGCTATCGATAACCACAAGTGAATCCTGCATGCTGGTCGTACCCAAGTTGATCAATCGATCAACTTGGTACATTCAGCCTGACCACACATGATTTGAATCTCGGCTGGTTCCTGCTGAAGTAGCAGAGATTCGAACCATCTATGGCCAGCCTTAGCCCCTATGCTCTGTGGATAAGAATAATGGGCAGGATTTAGTAATTTAACAATGACTGGGTAAGGCTGACACCAGTTCTTGTATTTTAGGCAGGTCAACAGGTGAGTTTTTATACTTTCATTGTCTATAGGGACAAAGTATGGAAATGTATTGCAGAGATTTTTTGCCTTAGCTTTAAAATAGAACACCTGTTTTAAGACATAATAATACATATATCATTGATTACAAAATCCATTTTATAATGCAAGCATTAATTGCTGCTTTATCATACAAACGATTTTTCTTTCAGTGTCAAATTTGCTTTCTTTGCAACCATCGCAATAGTGCTAAATTTGTAGACTTATTCCCTTGCTCCCCTACCTGGACCAATGTCTCTAGAAAGTCATCAAGAGCATAGAACACAGGCAGAGTGCAACAGAGTGTATGGAGTTCTCAGCAATGTCCTTGTGTTTCTTGCTCTGGGAATTTTATGTTTATTAATATGCTTAAAACATCTTAGGATGTGCGGTATTTCTTATTACAAACTTGAAACTAGTCATGTGATTAGAGATTGTCCCACAAAAGACTCACCCCAAAATATATTACTTCTATAATGGCTTATCTAAATATAAACAGAGCAGAAGCAGTTAAGGATCTTTAAGAAAAAAACTTGCAATGTATATAATTCACTGGGAGAGGTTTCTGCTGATTTACTGTAAAGCAGAAGATAAAAAAATTATTTTTTATTTGTTCTCCTTGGTTTTTTTAATTATTAATTCACAAACAGAGAGACACGTCAGATGATCCTACAGATTTTGGCCATAACACTATCTTACGTTGCCAAAATCTCTTTGGAAAGGAAGAGAGGGCCTCTTTGCCATGCAGGACGTTCCTGAAGCCTGACTATTGCTCACTCAAAATAAAACTGAGCCAAGTGTGTCTTCTATGTACACAGACATGCATGGATGCAATACATACTGTATATGGATATTAATAGGCCATAATCTGTTAGCCAATAAAATAAACAGATAAGTAGCATCTATTAGCACTTAAACCCTCTTGTACCATAATACTAAATGTATTTCTTTTTAGAAATAATTTAAAATGTGTGTATGGCAATATTAAAGTGGAAAGAAAGGCTATACAACATACCTGTTAAGTGTTGTTTCCCCCATAGCTTTGGTACACTCTGCAGACTAAATTGGCATACACTTTTTTCTAAGTTTTTTTAAGCAGTTACATTCCTACAAAGCTTTGACTCTATCCCTTCCCTCTGATGTAGTTGCGGCAGGTGGGCATGAACTCTGTCAGCCAAGAACACTATGGACGCCAATGGGTGATGTCACTGCGTTACAGGATTAGGACCAGCCGTAGCTTTGCGGTCATGTGGCCACATAGAAGAACAGTATTTTGATGGAGGTGTGAAAGAAAAGGTCCACAAAGGAACATGATGGAGAAATAAATTTAACAGGTAAGTTGCATTTCCTTCCACTTTATTGATAGCACTATCTGTGCTGTAAAATGACACTATTAAAAAAGGTATCTAAACCCCCAAAAAAGGATAGATTATGATGCAAATTACTAGTCCTTAGATATAGTGTCTATTAGTTTACTTTTCTCAAGTTTTTAATCCTTTATCTTCAACTGGTAAGCCTACAAATACCACACTTCCTGGTGTGACAATGCTCTCTCATACTGTATTTATAGAGGAGCAGCCTTGCCATTTCTTACCTATTTTGGGACTACAAACAAATTACTTGCTTTCCTAATTTGGTCTACAAATTACTTACTTTCCTAATTTGAACTACAAGCTCCACCCCCTTGCTTCATGTATGTTACATGTTGGAAGGCAAAATTTGTAGATTACAGAAGATACCTTAGAAGAAAGGTAACACTTTTGTGGTATTTTATGTACTTAAAGTGTTCTTAACCTGAAAAAAGAAAACAAATGCAAACACAATATACAAAGACTGGCAAGCTGCAATGTATTACTTTTTATTCTTGGGTGTAGATATCCTTTAAAGCTTTTAGATTCTGATGACTTACAAAGTCAATATTGATGATGGTTCAAGTTAGTTTTGTGTGCCAGAACACAAACTGGAAATGTCAACTGAATTAAATTGAATTGAGTCCCCCCCCCTCGAGAGCTTGGTTGGAGTATAATCAGCTTAAACATTATGTTTGACCCCACACTCCCTTTAGGCTCTTTGACTAGACCCTTCACAGAGTCATTACTCTCACAGTCCTCCAGGCTGGAACATACGCTTTCCTTAGTATACCAAATTTTGTTAAGAGAATCTTCCCCACGCCCTCCAGCTTTTATAACTAAATGAAAAGGAGAGCTGGATGAATCCCCTGAAAATTTGGACTGGGACAAGACGCTGGTGCTGGCATATAAAATGTTGATTACCTCTTTCGCCCAAGAGTGTAATTACAAGCGAATATCAAGATGGTGCTGATGCCCCATGATTCTACATAAGGTAGACCCCTCTATACTCGTTATGTGCTGGAGATACTTCGGGATAAGATTTTACAGCTATATAAAAAATTGGTAGGAGACAAATATCTGAATAAGCCTCAAATTACAGTACTATCTATGCTCCCGGGTTCTTATAAACAGCTCAAGAGAAACTTTCTTAGACATTTTGTGACAGCGGCCAGGGCTGTGATTGGGAGGCACTGGTGCAAAACTGAACCTCTTTCTCTGGCCTAATGGGCATGTGAAGTAGACAACATTGACCATATGGAACACATGATTGCTAGGGAAAATGACAAATTTGAGTCATATAAGCTTACGTGGACAGTGTGGTCCTATTTCAGGTACTCATCTGACTTTACATCTTTTGTTTATGAAGTAATGGTTACTGTGGCATATAGTGACACCTCTCAATTGCATAGGAATGGATAGCTGCACTGCCCCCCCCCCCACCATTCCTTACTGTGTCGCTTCCCTTTTTTTTCTCCCCCCCCTTGCCACACTTTTTTCTTACTTTCACTGCTTATAATTGCCATATAGTGGTCCTCCTGGTCTCTGGGGCATGTTCTATAGAGCTTAATTCTCTCCCATTACCTGCAGTTGTGATGAATCTCTTGGCATTTTAGGCTCACCAGAACCTACCCAACATTTACATGTGTATTTTTTGTTTTATTTCTCACTTTATATCTCTAAATACTTTAAAACCAAATTAAACCTAAAATTGAATGGAAAGCCACAAGGTAAAATGAACTGAATTTTTCACCCTTCAGAATTAGGGGGTACAGGATCACCTTATATAAAACTATCAATGGTGTGTTAAAATAAAAAACAGGGTTTGCTTTAGGGTCACAAACCCCCCCACCCCAAAAAAAAAAAAAAAAAACACATGAAGGCATCCCTTTAGAATGGGAGAACACAGTTTTAACCTTCACATGCAATAGAAAGTAGATCAATGAATTTATCAGATTTCTATTAGAGTCAGATTCCGATTGGGAATCAGGAAATCTTTTTTTCCAGGTTAAACTAAACTGGAACATACATCAGATGTTTTTTTGATGGACATAGGTTCATAGTTTTTTTTTTTTTTTTTCTTTAACCCATATTACTGTGTAACCTTCCTACTGGTGACCACGTTTGAAGGCATTTAGTTGAGGTTACTGGCAGACAGAGAGGGTTCCATAACTTACTTATTGTAAGGGTACACATAATAACCTCCACCTCTAGCCTTGAAATGGTTTGACCTGTCTGTGTAATAAAGATAAAGTAATGTAAAATGCAATCAAGGGAATTCAAAATTACTGGTGGCAGTTCCCTTAGCATAACCAGCACATCCAGATAGTTTTTACTACCGCCACTTCAAGAACTTGTTGATATGGCAGTCTTAAGAATAACTGGAAGTTATCAGACTGGGAAACTGGCAGTAATTAAGACCAACTCTGGGCTGGCATAAAGAAGTACACAAATATACAGAGTGGGAAATCACTGTGCTGGGAAGCCATCATGTATGACAGCCTTCCATACAGGGCTCTATTCCTGGTCTCTTTTAGCTGTTGGCTGAGAGATTTCCTGGCCAAAGCCAAATGCAAACTAAGGGGCCAGAGATACAGGTGATGCCATTACCCAAATATGGCAATGCCCATATCTGGGAATGACTTGTCATTGGGTAGGTAAAGCCTGATGGGCACAGACAGGCTAGTTCCCCATCAGGTCTGCTTTACTTTTCATTGAAAGTGCATGGCAATGGGTGGATTCTAAAGCTGCTATTGGACTGAATAGCACCTATTGATCCAACCATATCTGACAATCCAAAGTAAAGTGGACCTGATGGGGAACTAGTCTCTTGGTCAGCTATTAGGCTCTGCCTGCCCCAAGTACAAAACTCCCCAGCCATGCCCCTGTCCATGTGAAGGGCACAGTGGCTGGGGAGGTGAAGTGGGGTGTTAGGGAGGCAGTGCACTGAGACAATATGTTCAGTATGGACACTCTGACAGGTGCTGCACCATGATAGAATTCTAAAGGGTGTCCACAGTACCCTTGCTGTTAATTATGAATGTACACAAATCTACAAAAATCCACAGAGTTCATACTTTCTCACAACTGCATATAAATGTGCTTGAAAGAGAAATTTAATCTGCAATTTGTTTCCAGAAAAGAACAGAAAATTAAAAAAATATATATTGTGCTAGCTGCAATAGGCAACATGTGTATACTTTTAGGCCCCTTTCATATGAGTGCTCCCATTCCATTTCAGCAGGGAATTCAGACTGATCCCCCTGCTGGGCCAGACCTTAACAGAAACATGTCACGTGACATCCGTGTCTATTTAGATTCTGTTCCATTTTTTCCTCGCGTTCATGATGGAGGAAAAACAGAATCATGTATTCTCTATGGGCAGCAAGATGTAATTATTTGCATGTGTATAGGTTTCTATCCATTCAGATTAACAAAAGGCGACTTGGATGCACACTTGTACTTAGTCTAATGAGCTAGAATAGACCTGATGGAAATGGACACATTGATTTACATCTTGCCACTCAGAGGTATATACTACTGTCTGTTTTCATTTTGGATACAGAACAGAAGGGTTAAAACCCTATCAGGTTTTTCTTTTTTGCTGTATTCTACTAGGGAGACTTCCTTTCACTTCCTGTCCTGGAAATGCAACAGGACATGAGAGAAACAAAATAACTGAAACAGACTAGCAATGAAAACAACTGTTTTGATACAAGGGCTTGAAAAACTATTGAGTGATTTCTATTGTTCTCAGCCAATTTAGCAGAGATCTGGTGATTTTCACATTACTCACTGAAAGTTTACTTGCCATGGACGATCCATGTGCATGCAAGAAAGAAAAATGATCACTTATGGGTGTAAGAGTTCCTGATGAAATACTTAGAAGTACTTGTGTATTGTTACCCCAATGTGCATGTGGTTTAATTGGTTAATGTGCCTTTAAATAATTAGATAAATATAGCACCAGAAATTTACTTCGCACAAAGCACATTTTTGTCAAAAGAGTAGCACCAGCTGTATCTTATATATAGAGTACAAAACCTTTTCTTCAGCTTCCCGTTTTGTTCGGTCCTCCTCTTGGCGGCGACGTTCTTCTTCTTGTCGTATGCGATCTTCGGCTTCTCTTTTGCGGATCTCTTCCAGTTGTTGTTGTCTTCTTCTTTCCTCATCCTGCAACTAAAAAACACGTGTTTTAAAAAAATCCATACATACAAACTCAGAAACAAATAATATATAAAAATAGTAAATAAAAAACATTAGTTCTAATAATGCACGTTTATATTCTATAACCCAACTGCAATTCAGGAGAACATTCACAACAGTACAACTTGTGTGCGGCCAAACCTTTTGCTTAAAAATAAAATAATTTACTTTGAGCTATGTTGCATTTACTACTCCCAACACATCCACATGTGTGTGACTATTAGAATCATAAACACAGAATGGCATATAGTATGTGTGAAATTGCACTGGGGTTATGTTATGTGGTCACAAACACATTTCAAGTATAGTGGAGTTCTACTTACATATCTAATATTTTCTATTTGTTTTTTTAAAAAACACATTTTTCACTAACACACATTCAAGAGTCAGTAAACTTACAATGCAACAGAACAAGGTCACTAATTCCAAAAAAGCTGAACAGCTAAATTTAAGATATTCTTTTATTTCTAAACAGCATACTATTATTAGTTTACGCCTAATACTCCGGTCCTATTAGAATGCTTACAGTGTTTTCCACACATCTACACAGACACATAGGGTTGGTGGTTTGGATAAATAACAGAGGAGAACAACAAGGAGAAGTGTATGCATACTGCATCGATGAGATTACTGACAGGAAGCTTTCCACAATGAACAACCACTTTTTCTCAAACATCTGGGGTTCTGATAACACTTCAGAAACATTTGCTCTATACCTGTGTTACAAAACTTGCCTTCATTATAAGCCAACAATGTAATTTTTTACTTATTTATTGCTAATACACTAAATGCATATACACGTAGGCAGGTGTGCTTTTCCTTTTACGGTTTTTCCTCGCTGTGGAAGGGGGGGGGGGGGGTGGGGGGGGGGGTAATTAGGTCATTCTTGCATATCAGACTAGGGAGGAGTAAGCTTAGGGGTTCTGGATTCTGAAGCTTGGTATGACCACCAGAGAGAACAGAGGAGAGTTGTGTGTTCCTCCTTTCAAGGGTGGGGCTGAGGAAGGACTGCAGGGCCTAGGGCTTAGAATGGAAACTGCAATGCTCCCTCTCTCATCTGAGAAGTTAAAGTGATTGTAAACCCTCACCTTGTAAAACAGCTTATTCAGTTTAAAATAGGTATTAAAGGGAAAACATTTTTGTATAGATATAAAAAAAAAAACCATTGTAAATTTCTTATGTTTTCTTTTTTGTATGTGATCACATTCCTTCTGTTCTAAGCTGCATAAGAGCTAGGGAAGGAGAAACAGCAGTATAATTAACCTCCCAGTAAATGTCTGGTGATGGTGGTGGGGGGGGGGGGGGGGGGTGGTGGTTAGGACAAGTCTGATCATTGGAGATCAGACGAGTTCCCAGCACAACTAGAGAACTAACCACAGTGTGTTCTCCTGCTTATTGTAGTCCATTTTTAACAGGAAAGTAGAGGGACCGGCAGGAGCACCAGGGATTTCAAACAAAGAAAGTAATACAAAGAGAACAGGATACTTTGTTCATAACAGTACATGGTACATCAGGCACATATCAGGAATATAAAATGTTGGGATTACATATTAAGTGGTGGAATTCAATTAGTATGCATTGCTGCTATTGAAACAGAATGTTTATTACTTTTTTTGCAAGTAAAAAAGTTACTTTTGCAACCAGGAGCCTCTGTGTGGTGGTGTTCTAGAAGCAAGATAGAATGATGTACAATGCTCAGCCATGTGCATTTATTGGTGCAAAAGCCTGATAGGCCCAGTAGAGGGGGGGATGGTGGAAAAGAGTCCTCCTGCCTTGTGGAGAGAGAAAAGCCCGTAATTTTCCATGTGTCAGGTGACCTGGGTCCTTGCTTTTATGAGCCCCAGGTGTACAGATGGACTTCTGGAACCTCTATCTTAACAGCAAACATAGGCCTAAGTGAGAAGTACTCTGGGTGTTAAGGGGTTAATGTGAACTGTAGCCAAAGGGATGGGGGGGGGGGCTGAAGGTCTAGTACATAATCACTAAATGGCAGACTGTGGTCCGCATTCAGATCGAGCCACTGTCCCATCTGGACCCACAGTCGTGCCATTTAGTAGCCGCTTTTTAACCCCCAGGCAGAGTGAGAGACAGGATAAGTAACGAACTGAGTGTGGAAGGCACAGCTCAACATCGGATGGAAGGCAGGAGCGGGGACGGGAACTGCCGGCTGTTAACTTTTTATATTAACCTGCAAGTGATTGCCAGGACTGCCCTGTGCACTAGCAACCAATCACCTGCTGGTTAACATGGAAAGTTAACTCTTGCAGCTTCCGCTCCTGCCTTCCATCCAATGCTGAGCTGTGACTCCCACACTCAGTTCATTACTATCCTGCCTCCTGCTTTAAACAGTCTAAGGTAGGAGAGTAAAGGGGGGTAGCACTGGCTGGATGTCAAGAGGGCAGAGCACACTACTGTGGGGGTAGGGTGTGATATGAAAGGTGGGCAGTGCTGTGGGAGGAGTTTATGGATAGGTGTGGTAGCACTGTGGGGGGCTGCGAAGAGAAGAGGGGGGGTTGTTGGTAGTGCAGTGGGGAAGATGATGTGGGGGGGGGTGCAGTGCATGTGTGTGTGGGAGGGGGGTGATGTGAAGAAGGCAGAGCACACTAGTGTGTGTGTGTGTGTGTGTGTACGCGTGTGTGCGAGAGCTTTGATGTGATGGGGCAGAGGAAAGTATTGTGGGGGGCGGTGTGATTCTAAAGGGGGTTGGAGATACTGCTGTGAAAAAAGGGGGTGCAATATGAATCAGGTTCAGTACACTACTGTGAAGTGGGTAGGGGTGATGTGAAGGGGGCCTAAGAACACTACTCTGAAGGTAATACTGCTCTGTGAAGTGGGGTCTGTGATGTGCGGGGGATGGAGGACACGAATGTAAGTACAAGACTGTGATATAAGAGGCGAGGGGGCTGTGATGTGAAGGATCCAAGTCTTGGCACAAACATGAGATTCCAACCTCTGCTGGAAGAAAATGTAAATTTTAATTCAATATCCCTGGTCTAGGACCTGCATCTGTGCACATGAATAAAGTGCAGCTTTGGGTGGAGAGCAATTATCTTGCCCTGAAGACCTGAACGTAAGTGGGGCCTGGCTGTTGGCCACAAAAAGGAGCTGGATGCCCCACCCACATAATGGTCACATCAGTCCATGTCCCCAGAACAGCTTACAACCTAATCTCCTTGACACACTTAAGCAGATATGCAGACAAACCAAGGAGTCTGGGATTAAGGCTACACTTGCAGCACTTTATCTTGACTGGAATAGCAACAAAAGTGTACTCATCATATAGTACAGAAAAAAAGGTTTGTTGCAACTGTTAAACTGGAATAATCATGTCCTGACTCCTTTGTGAGTCCATTCCAAAAACGTGCAAAAATTACTGAGCCTTGATAAAGGGGATACGTGTTTTGTCCCCAAACACATTGGCCATTTGGTGAATCACTGAAGTCATTTTGGACTCTGAATGTGGTTCGGTGCTCCTTATTTTGCATTGAGCCCAAGTGGAGCATCTTTACACCATAAATTGTGTAAATATGCACTTCAATTAACCAATCACGTAAAAGCAAATTCTGATGTACTTACAGTGGGTAAAATAAGTATTGAACACGTTGCCATTTTTCTAGGTAAATATATTTCTAAAGGTAGTGATATAAATTCGGTATCCAAAAATAAACAAACAATAATACAACCCTATATGACACATAAAAGTCCCACTTTCACCCTTGAAAGCCCAAAATAAGGAGCAGGGCCCTCCTTTCCCTCTTGTATTGAACTGTATTGTCTCCCGTTATATTGTAAAGTGCTGAGCAAACTGTTGGCGATATATAAATCCTGTATAATAATAATAATAATAAACCTTTTAGTGTCAGTAAAAAATTATATGCACAAAGTCCAAAAAATTATTCCTCCGTATTCAGCTTTAACATCCCCATGTGTCCAAACAAGTCGTATACCTCAAAGGAAAAAGAAACTAAAATAGTGTATTACCTCAATTAAATATATGCTTCACAAAAATATTTATCAAAATGTGCAAATAGAAAGATTCAAACCGTGAACAACACGTAAATCGTGAAATCACTCTGTGTACACTCTATATACATATGTGAACACTCTGTGTACACTCCTAAATAATGATTGTGAACACTCTGTGAACACTTCTAGGTATCTGAATTGCATACAATTACCCTAAATCAAGTAACAGCAAGCCTTTCGAGTACACCCTGGACTCTCACTCCAGTATTGATGTTACTTCTCCCTGGACTCTCACTCCAGTGTATGTCAGACTTCCAGAATAGGATTCCAATACATTAAGTTCTCCTCATTTATCCATCATCCTCATGTGTCACTCATAAGTAGAGAGAAAAAGAAGCCCACATAGTGTAGTATTTAAAATTGATCTAATACATTTATTTGTAGTGTTTACATATAAGTTTTCATCAATCAGCAGCAGTTTCCCATGTCCTCAGCCTTGAGCAGCTTCCTGAAACGCTACAATGCCTAATCCAACAACAAAAATGGCCGCTCCCTTATGAGGAAGTCCGGAAGTGACGAAACGCGTTAAGGGACTTGACGTCTAACGTTACACGGGAACCGAAAGTGGTGGAGCGGCCATTTTTGTTGTTGGATTCGGCGTTGTAGCGTTCCAGGAAGCTGCTCAAGGCTGGGACATGGGAAACTGCTGCTGCTAATTTACTGATGTTTACTCAGGAACTTGTGTCACCCATGTGCAAGGGACCACAATACTGGCAACCTTTGGCCCCTTGCACCCGGCATCACAAGTTCCTGAGTAAACCAGTAAATGTGCAAGAAGCCTAGTCATTACGACAACATTAAATGCAGCTACCTTCCGGTAATTGGACAGTGGTAAAAAGAAAGACTGCAGGGGTATCCTCCATAAATAACACTTCCCACCCCCTGCTAACTTCAGTTTTGTAGCAAGAAAAAGGGACATCATAATAATAGAGCAGGAGGCTGTGTTC